AAGTCTAGGTCTACTTTTTAAGAGAATTTCTAGTTTATGTTTCCTAAACCAAGCTGGTGGTATAAATTCAAATTTCAAGCACTTGTAAGGGATTCTAGATTTTTAGGAGATTCCTTCCACTACCCAACCCAAAATCAGGACAGGCAAAATTCCTTAACACTTTCTAGTGCCAAGGGGAATATTTTTTCTAGACTTCTTTTTCACAAAGGGTGTAGCCCTTCAAGAGTCCCTGGCTTTACACTGTGGTCTTAGTTCCTATTTCCTACCTTGTACAGACCCAAGGCCTCCTTTCCAGCACTTGAGTGGCAGTTAAAATACAAGTCCCTAATGTTTTATATCTTATTTTGTATGGTGGATACATAAGATTAAACAATTGTCAAAATTCATTCAGAAATTAAGATCTGCACATTTTGTTGTATGTGAATCATACCATCAACTGAAAATATAACTCAAACCCCTCAGTTACTAAAATCAGCAAATCCTCCCTACCTCTCCAGATCAGCATCAGCACCAACTCTTCTTAGTACACGGGTTTTCAATTTCCTCTTCGTTTTTGCTCCTGGGATGCCCCTCACTTTCCTATACTCTCAGCTATATGTATTTCAAGAATGTTTATTATATTTTCTCCAGACTCTCTCAGTCCTTTTAGTGTACTATGGGTTACAAATTCTCTAGGCTAGTGGTTCTCAACCAAGGGAGATTTTTTGCCCCTGGAGGACATTTAGCAATGTCTGGAGACATTTTTGGTTGTCACAAACTGTTTGTTTGAACTGGACAGTCTCAAACAAAGAACTATTTGGCCCAAAATGTCAATAGCACCAAGATTGGGAAACTCTAACATAGATTACCATAAACCATTAAACTTTATTGTAGAAATGTTGGGCTTTCACCTTTGCATTTCACAATGAATAGTATAGCCTAGTTATCACTCATGATGAAAGTGTCTTGCCTGAAAATTTACTTCTGGAATTCTCCAAGGAAGATATTTTCCAAAATGATATGTGGGAAAAAGAGAGGATAGTGGCTATGTTTTCATCTTTTACATCCTTGTAGTACTAACAGATACAAACTGCTGTTAGATTAACATGTCAAAGTTAATCACAGAACAAATTAAAGGAGTTTAGAATTAATTTTAAGAGAGTTAGAGATCATCATTTAACAATGAGAAGGTTGGGGCTGCCCTGCCCGATCACAGGGGACCTGGAGCGACCTTCACAGCTGCAGCATCCTCCTTGTTGCCTGCCGCCATGGATGTGTACCCCCAGTGCTAGCTGGGCTACCCCGCCGGTGGTTCCCCAGTGGCTGGAGCTGCGGGTCACCCTATGTCAACCATGATGAGAGAAAGAAAAAACCACTCCAACCATTTTGTGCTGCGGCTGTTTTAAGGCTGGAGCTGCTGAGCACTTGGAGCAGGACCTGCCAAAAGCTGCTGCTGTGCCTTTTGGATGAAGTTGCTTGGAGGTGGCAGGGGAGAAGAGGGCCTTGGTGGCCCCCAGGCCAGCAAGACCATTAATAGGGTTCCTGTGGACCCACATAGGACTGAGGAGTCATAACAACTGAAAAAGGGAGCCACTCAGAGGCCTGTGAGTCATTGCAAGGGACCAGCGCAAGACTCATCCCATGGGAAGTGTTTGCAGCACAGGCAGTGGGGGAAACAGGCCCACCAGAAGAACACTGGGGCAAAGCAAGGACAGCTGATCTGCACCCCAATCAGCAAAGGATCACTCAGAGGACACTGGTCAGGAATGCAGAATTGCATGAGGTGCAGTTGATGGAAAGACTCAGGCCCAGATCAGAGTTTCTACACAACCCACGTGCACCGAGTCTTTGGAGTGCCAGAAGTACCTATAAAGTCAACCATTAAAACCTGAGCTGCACAAAAAGCCTTCCTTAGGGAATCAGCAGCAAAGCAGCAATTTAGCTAAACCACACAGCTCAAGTACTGGTCCCCACAGAAGCTCCCCCATTTTAGAAGTAAGCAAAGGACAAAAAATTACTTCTGGCCCAGGCACACTGCCAGTGCCTCGGGGCTGCCTGGGGACCTGAGGCATAGATCTCAGACTGGACCTCCCCACCTCAACCAGGCACACTGCTAGTTCCAAGGAGCATGCCAAAAACATCACCTCCATGTGGGTGGCCCACCACAGCTGCCACAATAACCATGGCTGCCGCAAAAGTGGCTAGATGCCACAACCACCACACAGATTGCCCACCAGCCACTGGAGTGCATTGGCACAAGGTGAGTCACCAGCAGAGACCAAAGAAAAGAAGATGTCTCTCCCCACAAAGCCTATTCCAGAGTGACAGAAGAAATATCTGCTCTATGATAATATTGGGGGAACTGAACACACCTCTCAGCATTGGACAGATCATCTAGGCAACAAATCAACAGAATAACCATTACTCTTTCAGAAGGAGAGAAGAAATCTAGGGTAATTAGAGAGGGGAGGGAAAAGGGGATGGGGAGAGACTGGACAAGGGGCATAAAGAGTAAGTATGATTTGTAACAATATATATGCTAGTAATATTGATTTGATCAACATATCTCAATGTTGAACCCCCAAAATATGTATAACAAATTATGATTCAATAAAAAAAAAGAATGAGAAGGTTGGGCTGGCCAGTTAGCTCAGTTGGTTAGAGCATGCTGCTGATAACATCAAGGTCCAGGGTTCAAACCCTGTACTGGCCAGCCATCAAAAAAAACCTCCCAAAACAATGAGAAGATTGTATACCTAATGCATATATTTGACAGATCATAAGTTTACATTCCAGTCTAATATTCACCAGTAAATTATTGCCCCAAGTGCTCTGGCTAGGCAATGAGAAGTCAAGCTAGATGCCCTTTGGTGGTTACTGAAATTTAAGGACTCCATCCTGGGTAACATACCCCACTGAAAATGTTGCTTCAATTATCTTTTACTAAGTAGAACTGCTTGGTATACTTCTGCCACTATCCTAATGATAGAACATTTATGGTTTTAATACACTGGGATGCAAGACGAATAAGACAAAGTGGGACTTGGACTTCAAGCTGTGGAAAAGTCAATTGACATTATCATTATTTCAATATTTCAGGCATATAACAAGGTACAGAGAGTAACATAATGAATACTCATTTTCTAACCAAACAGCTTAAGAAATAAAGCATTAAACATACGATAGAAGTTCCTGTGGAATTCTCAGAATCCCATTCCCTTCCCTCCCCAGAAGTAACCACTCCTCTGAATTAGGTGTTTATCACTTCCATGCTTGTTTTTATTTTCACATTATGTGTGAAATCCAAAAACAATATATGGTATAGTTATGCCTGTTTTTTAAATTATATAAATGGTATCAAACATATCTTCTACAACTTCCTTTTTGTTATTCATAATTTCCTGCATTTGCACAGAAATAAAGAGAAGGAGCAAATGGAACAAGCTTCCTTGTCTCTAAAGAAAAACTCACCTGTGATTAGATTGAATTTGTCCCCAAATGCACCTGCCTACAGTGCTATGTGCCCTTTTCTATTTCATGCCAAAAAAAACTGGTAAATGAAATTCACACCCTTACACCCAGAAACAGGAGTGGTCACTAACATCCACAAGCCCCAAGTCCAGTTCCACCATATGAAACCCACTGGACTAAAGGGTTTTCCTCAGACTTTTGTGAAAGTGTGGTAATTGAATGTGAGTAGTGAATTCACTGCAACTGTTTCTACTCAGAGTTCATTATGCTCACCTAGTATGTTTTCCAAGGAATAATAATAACAGTAACAGAAACCAGATTTGACCAATCTGTTTTCAGATAGAACATCACAATTCTGCTAAAGCAAACCACTGAAAACATAAAGGCATCTTTACTTATAACTGAATGAAAGAAAATAAAGACTAGATATTTTTATCCCTTCCATTTCAGAAGGTGAATAAAGGGGTGAAGGAGATAAGAGTAAAAACATAAGCTGGGTTTTAATGGATTCTTCTAAGGATACAAAGAAGCTGGTCTCAGAATGATATGTTAGAGTCAGATTTAGACCAGGACCCTCCCCTAAGGGAGACAGCTGACATGATTATTTCTCTCTTCCCAGATACACAGTCAAACTCGCTGACATTTTATACCAGGCTAGTTCAGCAGCTGTTACAGATGAGGCAGACATTTAGTGCCCTGGAGATTCATGGAGGGATGGGTTACAAATGCAGGATGAGTACCTCAAAGTACACTGCTGATTAGGCCTAACAAATGGCTTATTCAGGGAAAAAGGTGAACACTCTAAAAATATCACCAAAGAGGAGAAGAAAATAGCCTTAGTTGGTATTTAAGATAATCTACAGATCAAGTCCAGAAAGTCTTTTATCTCTAAGAAAAAAAAAACCGTAAGTTAATTATACTTTGCTATATTCCCCTGTAGCAAGGACTTTGTTACCACACTGCTTCCCACTTCTGTTTTAGAAGGAGGGTCCTTGAGTGGCACAGGGCCCAAAAAGAACAAAAGAAGTAGACAAGAAGCAAGATAAGATGCCAGGTTTAGGAGTGTGTTTCTAAAAGTTTTTAAGAATCAATCAAAATATAACATTTTAACGTGTTTTATTAGCTAATTAGTTAACAAGGTGATCAATGGTCTTACACAGAATTAAAGCCAAAAGGCTTTGGAATCACAAGAGTAAGTGGCCAGGGAGATTTAAAAAATTCAGGCAAGATGTTTTTATCATGAAGGATAGCTAGACACAAAAGCTAAGGTGGTATAATAGTAAAGCTGCAGTGGAGATTTCAGTTTAGAGCTGTAAGGTGGTCTAGATAATTATAAATAGACCAGCACTAAGTGTTATGATTAAGCAATGCCCCATACATGCATTGGAAAGGGAAGTCAACAATGTGTTGGGGAAGAGAGAGAAAACCCAAGATTCAGTGGACGTGCTGGTTGACTCTGAAAGTGTACTTAGTAATCACCAAGTCAGACCCACCTCTCAAGTTCACCTCTGTCAGGACTGTATTTAACAATTTTCATCACTTTTCCTTACCTAAGTAAGTCACTGATAGTAATTTCAGGGATGAACTTTTGAAGGTGCTTCACTGTTGCACTGAGAAAACAGGCTTTATACATTTCATTAACACCATAGGAGAAATTCTGAAACACCAGTTTAATCAAGCCACTGAAAACAAAGAGAACATTTTTATGAGAGAAAGGAATTCTTCATTTCTATAAAACACCTTTGCAACTATTAGACTTTAAAAAAAATTTTTTTTTGGTGGCATCGCAGAAAGCTAGGCAAAGCCAGAAAATTACATATTAAAAGAAAATAAACTTTTGGCCGATATAAGAAGGAAACCTCATCAACTCAAAAGGTAAACACCTTCCAAACTCAAATTCCCAAGGAGTGCTGGTTTCAAACTGGGGTTCTATAAAGCCTGCCAACATCAGGCCTTCTAATACAAATGTTACATTTCAACACACCTAAAAGGCAGGCATTAATAGATCTTTAAATCAGGGCATTAAACAAGTGGGACATCAACCCTACTTTTCTTTTTAGTCAACCAGAGGTAAGGTCCTATAATAGTGATCCTCAAGCGAGACTCCACAGAGCCTATCTGTGTGTGTGTGTGTGTGTGTGTGTATTTTTACAAGTACACATGCTGGGAAATCCCATCCTAAGCCTTCTGTGTCAGAATGTGTGGAAGGTGAAACTCAAGTATAGTTTTAAAAGCTTTCTAGTTATTATGATGTGAAATCCTCTGGAAAGAAACATTGCTAAAAGGATGAAGCAAAATACCTGATTAAGTTATTTCTTACAATAGTAAAGAATCTATATCCTAGGTCAACACAATCGTACTGTTAGTTTTCCACAAAATTTTCCAGTGGCTTACAAAATGATGGTGACTGGCTTGAGATGACCTTATTAAAGTAAGACATGTACTGATTTTGAGAGAACCTAGTATTTTTTTTTCATCCAAACTCAATTAGAAGGTTAGCAATATGATTTGGATTACCAAATGTGTGAATGGCTCTTGGTCTGACCTTCTTTTTTAACCAAGACATCATCCTGGCTCATCACAAGTTTCTTAAGAAAGTTAAAATGTTATGCTTATTCCACAAAGCTCTTAATTTGGATTAATAAAAAGTTTAATATACTAATCACAAATATGGGGATTTACCCAATAAGTAGAATATCATGAAAGACAAAATTTTCCACATTAAAAACAGAAGCACACAAAATCATTTCATAAGTAAATAAAGTTGTTACCTATTGATCATTACATCCATAACATCTCTAGCACTGAAGTCAAAGGGTCTGTAACCTTCCCGTTTAAAGGCAAGAACTGCATTAGGCCCTAGCCAAATATTGCCATCCATCCTTGGTGTGAAGTGAACTCCTAGGAAAGGAAACCGGCTATCTGGGACCTACAGATTTAACACAGCAAAGAACTGTTAGCCCCATTTCACATTCCATTTTATTATATATGCCAACATTGAATTGGTTATATAAAACACTTTCTTCCGATGCATATAATTTGCATTGTGAGCTGTATTCAGATACACTTTGCTATTAGCGTGCTTTTGCTCAGAAATGCCATACAGGAAACACTGATGCTATTGAAATTAATACACACTGTCCCATCTATTCATCTTTCTAGTTAAAGGGGAAAAAAAAAAAAGATGAACTATCCTACTTCAGGTTATTCTCTCTCTCAGTCTGTACCGTGACTGGCAAGTATAATCAGAGATCCCAGAAAAAAACACACATTCATAGCACAGCCTTTTTGTAAGGTGGAAACTTGTGGTTGAAGCAGATAAAATCAATATTTTAGCAAGGTCAAAAATACCAAATATATGAATATTAGCAATTTCATCTGGTTCAACCTAATATATTTGTAGAGATGTATTCATTTCCAGGGTAGTTCCAGACAGAAGAAAAATTCTTCATTTAAACGCCTCTGTCCCTGAAACTACAAAGTAGCCACATCCCTTTTCTGCACCTAAAGATAGTGAACTGAGAAAGAGGGTTGGGTATCTGGGATTTCCGAAAGGGAAAGTTTTCTTATGAGTACTCCCTCCATGGGAGAGGAGGAAGAATCCAGTTCCTTCTCAATAGCACTTTCCATAGTATACTCATGCTTTCTGAGGACATGTACTTGCAGGAAATTAATTATGAATTTAATGACCACAATGTCAGAAAGAGAAACAGACAAAATGCCTGCACAAATACCCCTTCAAAATCTCTCTTACTTCTTTTTTTTTTTTTTAAAGATGACCGGTAAGGGGATCTCAACCCTTGGCTTGGTGTTGTCAGCACCACGCTCAGCCAGTGAGCAAACCGGTCATCCCTATATAGGATCCGAACCCGTGGCCTTGGTGTTATCAGCACCGCACTCTACCGAGTGAGCCAAGGGCCGGCCTAAAATCTCTCTTACTTCTGACCCAGGTAAAAGTTTTTGTTTTCATTTCCTTTATGCCCACAACCAGTTGGAGAAGAGTGAGAAGGCAGAAGTCTCATTACCTACCGGATAAATATTTCCTTTTACAAGATAGCGCTTTTCTGGCTTCAAGAGCAGGTAATCTCCCCGGAATGGTACAATTCGAGGATTGGGATTGCAGCCACTCAACTCTGAAATACGGTCTGAGTAAAGTCCTGCACATGTCACTACATACTGACATCGAATTTCCTCTCCCTAGTGCAAAATAAAAGAACAGGGCTTTATATAAAGCAGAGAGGAGTAGAATAGGTCAAGAGGGGAAAAACAGACAATAGAAAAGGAAAAAAGGGTACCGAAATGGACTTTTTCTAAAAGAGGAAATTCAATGCGTGTATCAGCAAAATAAGTTTTCAGCACTTAGGTAGCAGCTAGAAACAGGGTAGTAGCATGCAAGAGAATGTCATCTTAAATTTTGTACTTTAACTTAGAGATAACAGTTGACCTAGCAAGGATACTTAACAAGCTACATCCATACACATACAAGCCTATTTTACCAGGACCTAGCATGGAGCTTCTTTACCTGCTGCATGAAGAAGCAAACTTCATTTTGATGGCTCCCACCAATTTGGCCTCCTATGTATTTCAGACAACTTCTCCTGTCCTACCTGAATTACTACCCTGTTACTACTGGGTTGCTTTACACTCAATAATCCTGCTCAATTCCAACTATAACCTACCTAGCAACCAATTTCTCCTTCTTGATCAATATCTACTTTGCAAATTGAGGCTACTTTAGAAATCTCATTCATTCAATCCACATTTACTGAGAGCACACACTATAGTCAAGGTTTGCTTTAATGACTAGGAGACTGTTAATGCTAGGCTGTTGTGACTTCTCACAAATTTTATTTTGATTATCAACTGCATATTTTTAACTTCACCCTGATGGGTTTAGCCAGTTTGCTGCCGTAGTTCCTAAATGACTTCATTTAACCCCCAATCACCACCACACTCTAATTCCCATCTCTTTATTTCTTACAGAGTAAACAACTAGCAACTCCTTGTTCCTGGTATATTTCCTTTCCATATTTCTGAAGCCTCGGAGTTCTTTCCTGTCTCAATATTTTCTTTCTTTCCAGCCCTCGCTGGTTCAGCCTTACTCTACTGAACTATATTTCATTTCTATACGCATCCTATTTTATCCTTGCTAGAAAGTTAAGCTTCTTTTCAAGAATTATACAAGTCACATTTTTGACAAAAATCAGATGAAACTTCTCCAAAAAGAATTCAAATTAGCTAGACTCTAAACCATGGTAGTTTTAACGCCCTTGAAGTCAAAAGGCCTATGTCAGAAACAACAAAAAATGCTTTCTTCTAAGTAGGTTAATATCTTTCCTGTTCATCTAGAGTTACATAGCAGAAGTAGAAGAGATATTTTTATATGATATAAATCCACTAGTTCCTACATAGAAGGTCAGCAATTCTTTTGTTCTTGGAACACAAAATGTAGATAAACCTTATGATAAATGTAAAGATGATAACAAAACTTGAAGAATGGTATCAGCATGCAATAACCTAACAGTTCTCTTTAGAAAACTCAAGCAACAGTTCCAAAGACAGATGTTATTAAAAACTATCACAGGTCTCTGAAATCATTTTATGCTATACATAAAACAATAATTAAGTTCAGTAACACATTAATTTCACTTCCAAACTGAAATTTAGGTAAACATTGAATAACACATTTGTTGAAACATAAATTTCTTAAAAAAACCCAAAACTACATATCTCTATTGCTGTTTTGTAGTGAAACAGACTTTTCCTCCATATCCCGTATATAAATCTTTAATTTGAAAATCCTCTTCTCAAAAGTTCAAAGATTCCTTTTCTTTTAACCTCTCATAAAAGCATGGATGTTCAACCTGCTAGTGGACCCAAAATTTGAATTTGAACCTCAAAACTATACTAAAGGAAAATGCCAAAATAAAAAGCAACAACTATAATAAATCTGGGTGAAATATACATACATTGGTATCCCATAGGCCCCTGCATATCTTCCATCACATTATGCTATACTCTAGTGAAAATGTTCCTTTGATGATGGCAGGTGCAGAAACAGACTTTTAACCCTTTGAATGGAAATTTTGGTTGCTCTGCCACTTGGGCCACGTGACCCAGATGATATGATGGTAATCAAAGTGTCTGTAGCAGACAACAATGCTTTACAGAGCCTTTGGCAGGCCCTTATAGGCAAATCACAGTACAGAACTTTAGGATTTTGGAAGAAAGTTATATCCTTCTCTGCAGATAACTATCCTTCTTTTGAGAAAGTGCTTCTGGCTTTGATTAAACACTTGACCACAGGTAACCAAATCACCATATGAACTACCTATTAGTAACTGGGTGTTGCCCGACTCACCAAGACACAAAATTGGGTGTGTATAGCAGCACTCCATAGTCAAGAGGAAGTATAACATATAAGATCGGGGTTGTATAGGTCCTGCAGACACACATTAGTTGCAGAGGCAAGTGGCTCAAACTTCAATGACCCCTACTCCTGCTAAATTGCCTCCTTCCCCTCAACCTGCCCCTATGGCACCACAGAGAGTTCTCTATGACCAGTTGACCAAGGAAGAACAAATACAGGCCTGGTTTACAAATGGTTCTGCATAACATTCTGGCACCACTTGGAAGTGAACAGCTATAGTACCAGAGCCCCACACACATGGCCCTGAAGAATTGTGGTGAAGGGAAAGTTCTTCCCAGTGGGTAGAACTTTGAACACCACACCTGGTTGTTTATCTTACCTAGAAGGAGAGAGGGCCAGAGTATGTCTTACACTATTTCATGTGTAATAACTAATGGTTTGGCTGGCTGGTCAGTAAAAGGAGCGCTAGAAAAAATATATATGAATGAACCACTCCGAATAGGCTCAGAGGGTAAAGATATTTGAGTTCCATATGAATGCTCACTAAAGAGTAATCTTGGGGCCGGCCCGGTGGCGCACTGGATAGTGCGCCGCTTGGGAAGCGCGGCGGCGCTCCCACCCAAGGGTTCGGATCCCACATACAGACCGGTTCCCGCTCACTGGCTGAGCGAGGCACGGGAGCAACGCCGAGGGTTGCAATCCCGTTGCCGGTC